CCCCAGCCTGCCTGCGGAGCTGCCCACTGCCGCTGCCGTGCTTGTGCCCCTTCCTGCCCAGGGAGCAAAGCTGCTCATAGCCGTGTTTGTCCCTTCTCCCCAGGGATCAACCCCTTCCAGCATGCTGGACACCTCCAGCTCCTTGAAAACCAATGTGGACAGACCCTGGCCCTGCTCCACCTCCCCCATCCCATCCCTGTCCCAGGAGTCCCTCGTGCTACCCCGCTGTGCCGCAGCGGTTCCGCAGGCAGGCAGCCCCATCACCCGCCTGGCTGGGCAGTTATCTCCAGCTCCAGCCAGACCTCACACCCAGCAGCCCAGCACATCTCGCCTCAGCCCCATGGAGGGGAGCCAGGGTGGTGGAGGAGGGAGCAGGGAGCCCCTTTTCCTCCTCCCAGGAAGGCCATGGTTCTTGCAGCCGTACGTTCCCACTTCCCCTCCAACAAAGGCAGAGTCTTTCCCCGGCCCCAGCAAACACACAACCCCCTGGGAGCTGGGGCAGGATCAGGAACTGAAATCCTGTACAGCCTCAACACACACACATGGAGTGTCACTATCACTCCCAACACACAACAAGCTGCCCAGCATTAAAAAAAAAACAACAGACACATACAATAAATTTCTGATACGTTGAAATAAAAATCCAGACCAGTGACTCTTAAAAATGGGAACTCTCCGTACCAAATATGTTTGTTTTTTCTTTCATTAACTGCCTTGTTTTAGCTATTTCCAGACAGGAAGAGATCAATTCTTTATAAAATGCAATAGAAAGGGGTAAAAATAAAGGCAACAGCTATTTACAGAAACCAACAGGGAGAGTACCGAAACGCCTCTAGACTTCTCACTTCTTGGGTGATTTCCGGGCGCTGGACTTGGCTTTGGGTTTTGACCGCTTTGCCTTCTTGGGCCTGGACGCCTTCAGGGACTTGGCCTTTACAGTCTTTGGCTTCTTGGCTTTCTTTGGGCTGGCCCTCGACTTCTTCCTGGCTTTCCTGGCGGCAGCTTTGGGCTTCTTTGCCGGTGACTTGGTTTTCCTGGGTCTAGCTGCTTTCCGGGGCGACGTGGATTTCCTGGTCGCCTTCTTTCTCTTCCTGGCTGGAGACTTCTTCGCCTTGACAGCCTTGGCAAGGCGGAAAGAGCCGGATGCGCCAACTCCTTTGGTCTGCTTGAGGATGCCGGTGGCAAGCAGGCGCCGGATGGCGAGCCTGATCTGGACGTCGGCGTGCTGGCCCACCTTGTAGTGGCTCTTGACGTACTTCTGGATAGACTGGCGAGAGGACCCACCGCGGCTCTTCTCGGCACGGATGGC